CACTATTTGAATATTCTAAGTATAACTAGGGTCCTAATTGCTGCTAGATTTGTGACACATTAAGTACTTTAAAACATTTTTAATTTGAATTGGCTATTGGATGTACAAATATTAATTCGCTTTGACCAGCGTTTGAATCAGCGGGGTATTTCTGTAGTTCACTCAGTGAAATCGCTTAATACTGTGGCACTCAGAAGCCCCCAGGATGCTTATTTGAGGGGCAGAATCAATAAAAAGGGCCAAACACTTCTAGAAGTTTAGGGAGAGGTACGGAAAAGCAAAAAGACATTTGCTCTGTGTTGTGTTCTTCGGTGTGGCTGTTCATGTGTGTGGTTTGCTTCCACCATGTGTGACCAAAGGAGTCCCTGAGACGGCCTGCTCCCACTCGCACAGACAGCACGGCTCAGGCGCAGGCAGACGTGGGCTCCAGGGGTGCCGCCCACTGGCACTGGCGCCGCGTTCTGTCAGACGCAGGACACAGCTTCTCCTCGTTGCGATAGCGACTCCCTGTTTCATCTTGGGGGAAAAAAAATCAGTGTACTCCTAGACACCCCGCAGGGTTTAGAAGGGCTACAGTCAGTGGAGGTTATCAGAAACCCTCTTCAGGTTTGTTAGACAGTGTTTGTAAAAAGCACAACTGCCTGTCAGCTGGTGAACAGAGGTTTCGCGATTGTGACGTCCCAATATTCTTCCCTTTAAAGTGGATGTAAACTTGTTTTACATAAACAGATATAAGAAGGGTTGAAAGCTGTTAAAAGCCCATTAACTGCAAAATAGAGTTTGGGCATTGACCTTTTACCCACCCTCTTTTGACAGTCACAAAGATTTGGGGCTTGAGGTTTAGGGGCAATGTACTGTTTGTTGGTAATCGTAGACTTACGAAATGAATGTTTTATCCAACAACATATGGAGTACGGAGCTATAGCAGATTGCATCAAAGCTATGCCAGCCACAGGCTCACACTCCTGCCACCCCATGCCCCGGGCTGCTGTGGGTCCGGACAATGAAAGACATTGAGGGCAGCAGAACGGTTGCGGAATGATGGAGACTTTTTTGTAGAATAAG